AAAATGTTGGTACCTACCAAATCTCACATACTGTTTCCTCCAGAACCTTGTATTTTCCTTTGATGCTTTCCCTCCAAATACGAATCTGGCTTGACCTTAATTAACTAGTGAGATGTCATAAGGTCACAGATTGAGTTGGTGTGACCACAGAAGCGTAAGTATGCTGATGTCATGGGGAGCTTGAGTTTCCTAATTGTTACCTCATCCCAGACTCTAGATGGTGCCTGAGTGTCTCCAGGACAGGGAGATTCATAGAAAGATTTCCTTTGAGTGACCTGCCTCTGCTTATAGGAGCTCTGGTAAGGAGGATTAGGACCAAGAATGGCGTCCATTTTCAGAGAAGCTTGCAAAGTAGAGGACACTGAGGCTGTGTCCAGACTCAGGGTTTTTTTTGGGAAAAGTAGCCTTTTTCCGAAAAAACTTCACCTGTGTCTAGACTGCAGCCGCGTTCTTTCGAAATTAAATTGAAAGAACGCGGCTTTTCTTTCGACGGTGGTAAACCTAATTCCACGAGGAAGAACGCCTTCTTTCGAAAGTGCTCTTTCAAAAGAAGGCGTTCTTGAAAGCAAACAGGCTTTTTAGAAAGAGAGCATCCAGACGCACTGGGTGCTTTCTTTCGAAAAAGCGGCTTGCTTTTTCAAAATTCCGCGTGCAGTCTAGACGCTCTCTTTCGAAAGAGGCTCTTTCGAAAGTATCTTTCGAAAGAGCCTCTTTCGAAAGAGGCTTGCAGTCTAGACATAGCCTGAGATGCTGCGGAGGGAAGCTGGAAAGATGAACTGTGCTGTGCCTGCATCAGCAGCATAAAGTCCCACTCCCTGACTTTGTCACTAGGTTGCAGCATTAAGGGGGAATTCGTACAAGAGGACCCTGCTGGTTCGTTCATAGTTCATAGTTTTGAGATATTAGCTATGTAATGGTTTCAGAGAGGTATTTGTATTAGTCTGTTTCAGGAAAAACAACAAGAAGTTCAGTGGCATTTTAAAGACTAACAAATTTATTAGGGTATTAGAGCAAAATTTTTCATGAGCAACAACTCACTTCCTCAGATGTGAAAGAGAAAGATAGTTAGATATCGGTGCTAATTAAATAATTAATGTAATGATTTAGTTAGCACTGATGTCACAGTCTTTCTTTCTTTCTTTCTTTCTTTCTTCATCTAAGAAAGTGAGTTGTAACTCACAAAAGCTTATGCTCTAATAAATACCCTAATACATTTGTTAGTCTTCAAAGTGCCACTGGACTTCTTGTTGTTTTAGCTATGCAATATTTGTTATACATCTGGTTTAATGTTATGATCTTAACTGCAAGCTTTTTTTGTCCCACAGTGCCTAAACTTTGCTGCTAAATGTGCCACCTCATTTCAAAAAGAGTCTTGTCTACTGAGCCTTATGGTTTCTGTATCTTCTTTATGGGTTCTGCGTCTCTTCTGTATCTTCTTATTGTTCCAGAAATTTCCAGGTGGAGGCACAAGACACTAGTTTGTCACCAAACATGGGGACCTATTAAGCCAAAGCTGCCGCTTTACCCCTTATCATGTCATGCCAACACATTTGAAAGGTTACTACTGTGGAGACATTTATAGCAAAGCCAGCTGAGTACATCTTCCAAAGAAACAGGTCAGGTGCCATTTATAAGAAGTTGTCACTTGTCACAACCATGGGGTAATAAATAAATAAATTCTGGAATCAATAATTTGGAGTTATAAGTTGCAATTAATTGTGGGGTTGTGGGAACTGAGCAGATGGCTATGCCTTTTTTCAGTGCTATATTACAAGAACCGATCACTTCACATCAGTGAATGATAGCCCGGTAATTCAGTTACCTATAGAAATTGGCACACTCTGTTGCTTCCAAGGAAAGACAGATGCAAACAATTTTGAAAAATCTCTTTGAGGAAAGACTGGAGGCAGTGAGCAGGTGTGGGCTTGTGATGCCCTAGACAAATAGAGGGAGGTCATCACTCATAAATCGCAAGCTTTGAACTGAGACTTGCTATAGCAAATAAGTCTAAGCATTGTTCTTAACAATGGGCACATGCAGGGTGCAATGTTTTTGTGATTGTAGGGAATAGGTAAAGGGATGTCGATACTCTCTTTCTGGCTTGCATTTTGTGTTTGAAATGTACTGATTTGCTAATGGAACCAAACTGTTACATTGTGGGTGTTGCTAGGACTCTGTCTGACAAAGAGAAAAGCAAAGGAGACTTGTCAAATCTAATCCTAGCAGTGCCCTCCAGGACTGCAGCATCAGCACAGGAAATAGCATTAGCTGCTGTTTGTGTTCGGAAGTAACATGAGGTATCTGGAGAAGTAGTGGTGACACTGAGAATGGCACTAAAGAAAAGGCCATGGGATAGAGGGTAGAGAGAGCCTAGAAGAAAGAGGAAAGGAAAATGAGGCCTTGGATTTGGGATATTTCTAGGTGCAATGGGCAACTGAGTCTTTTTCATCTCAGTGGGCCGCAAGATTGTTGTAACCAGACGGTTTCCCAGAATAGGGTAGTTTTGCTAGCTGCACTTACGTACCTAGAACTTGTGGGCTGTGCTGATTGAACCATAGAAGCGCTTTGATTGAATGCAGAGGGAATGCACCACACTCACAGTCAATGTTGTGTGCAGTCAGCATGCACATCATTTCACATGCCCTTGCTTTACATGTGTGTCATTTTAGCAATACCCATCTGGAAAAAAAATGACATGGCCGGAGGGTAACGAAATCTGGCAACCCTGCGCATGAGCAAAGGTAATCAAAATGTCTCATGGACATTAGAACACTAATAGGCCTCACGTGGCCCTCAGGTCCCAGGTTGCCCACCACTGTTCTAAGTCTTTATACTCAAAGGTTGCTCTTATTGGGATTTTTAAATTGCTATCTTTGTTGGATGCACTTACTCAGTAAAACAGTGAGGGAAAAGACAGAGTGTTTTCAACTTCTTTCACTATTATAAAACTTTTACATTTTCAGAAAATTGTTTTACATAAAAAATTAAAATGTTATGCTTTTAATTTCACTACAAATATTATAATCTGATTTGTTTGGAAACTACTTCCTCTCACTACCTACCCACCGCCTTCCATCCACCTTCTCTCTCTGTTGATGTATTCTCTTTTTACTGCAGTTGTCTGCTTGCAATACAAATATGATTTTCATCCTAATTTGCAAAAAGAAAAATAGGAAATTATCCCACTTCATGTTGAAAGCATGTCTCAAGCTGCATTGAAACAAGTACTGATGCAGAAATAGTTCATGCCTTTAAAAGGGAGTCACTGTTATGAAAAGAACAGAAAATTCTGCTCCAGTGTGGCAAATCTCACCTGGTGTAAATTGTCAGCTCAGGATGTGCCCCGAGAAAAGCCTACCAAATGAAAGAGTTGCCCTTAAGTTGCCACAACGAGAGAGGCCTGAACTCTCAATGTTAAATGTCTCTACCTTAGATGAAAGGAAGCAAGAAATAAAAATTAAATCTCCCTCAGAGAATGCAGTGTGCATGTTTCTCCTTGGTCATTCCAAAAAATGCTTAGAGTGTTTTCAGATAGGCTGAGTTCACAGGAATGTAAAGGCAATAGTGCTAAAAAAGTGGCCATTTCAAGTGACACATGGTTACACCAAAGCTGTGAATCTGAGATGTTATTTTATTGTTTCTACCCTAAGGTGCAGTTTAGTAGAAAATGTTTTTATTGCATTTAGAAATATTTCCCATTGCTGTTACTTTGCAAAATATTGGAACTTTTTGAAAAGCCTTAATGCACTCAATTTCCTTTTAAGGGGCTGCTTTGATGGGGATTCATTTGTCACATAAATTGGTGGTGACCCTGAGGGTGGAGAGTTTTGTATATGCAATGCTAAATTTAGTGTCCCATGAGTAATTCAGATGAGAGTATTTTAAAAAAAAGCTGTATGGTTAATGCCTATTTTTATCCTCAGTCACACCTTGTACATATATTAGCATTTCATTTAAAAATATAATGAAGGAAGATCCAATTATTTTTGATCAAACATCTATTTTTTTCTGACTTGAAAGTGATATACGCTTACCAATTGATAGCTCAAAAGCACAGAAATATAGCACAGACTTTAAAGGTTCTGAGTGTTTAGTTAGGTAAGTGATTTGATTACCTTAGATAAAAAATCATACCATATACTTAATCTCATTTATTTTCTTGCCCCCTCCCCCAAAGATGTTGGACTGTAGTTAAGCCATTACTTAAATGTGCCCATATGTGAAGCATGAAACACCAGAAAATAGGGGCTATAAAGAAGAATCTCAGGTTTACTAATGAAAGGAGCACTTAAAATACATTTAAGTTTCCTATACGCAACATTAATTAATTATTAATGCAAAATGCTCCTTGATGTTCATTGCAAATATTAGTTTTAGGAATTGTCCCACTTGATTTTTTTCTCCTTTTTTACAAGACTTCAGAGTTATTTTGTCCAATCTTCTCAGCCATTGTTCTTTCTATATTTTAAATGGCCACAGAAAAAATAGGATTAGCCCCAACATCCATTTCTGAGTCCAGGGATCTCTTTCTTATACATTTTTACAGCATTATAACACCATTTACTTCTGTTTAAATACTCTGGATTCTTCCAAGTGTGGGATGAGACTCAGATTCTGGATATTTAAACAGAATTAAAAGTTATGCAAGTCAGGAAGCATATTCTTATTAGTGAATGATCCTTAAAGGGCTTGGTGCTTCCATTTGGACAGTTTCCAACCCTGAAATAAGCTCAATGAAGGCAGACACAGAAGTCAATGGGACTCCATCCAGATAAAGGAGGTCTGTCTTTACAGAGCTAATGGCAGGAGCGGGGATATAGTTTGGATACTATCTAAAGATGACCCAAATCTTTAGTTAATAAACAGACCTGTGAATCTAATATGCATGTGGCTTCTTGTGAGATTTCCAGTATTTTTTTTTCTGAATCAGATATACTACAAGAATAGCTTTTTGTATGTTATTTTTCCTCTAGGCTTTTTCATGTGTTATTTTTCCTCAGGAAGTTCTGGGAGATGTAGAAGCAAAGAGAGTCTTTGAAGTTACTTCACGATTCAGTAAGGTAGAAAATTCATGTTGGACCTTCTTTTATTTGAACCAGTTCATCTATCACTAATTCCGAGGCACAGAAGTAATTTGTAAAATGCAATGCTGATCTACATTGCTCATGTCCTCATAGTTGTATCATTTTGGCACAGCTTAATAAGTACATAAAACAAGCCCTTGTTTTAATTTTCCTTCATCAATGATTATTGGATGAATTGCCTTTTTTCTAATAAATTATAAAGAATGTGAAATACATTTAGTAGAACTTCTCATGAGAGCTGGATGACATTTTTGGACATTTTAAGTGTATTCACTGAAAAATGCACTTTTGAGCTGACCACAACTATTCCCAAATTTGACACATATTGGTTTAATGATTCCTAAGTTACACTGTCGCCTGACTTCTACAGTGTGGCATGCATACCTATCCCAATTAAAATTTTCAAAACAGCGTTTTTGAGCTGCTATGCATATAATAATCATTTTTAAAATTGACATACCCACTTAAAAATGAAGGGCAAGACATGATCCAAAACCTGACATCGTTGCTTCAACTGAATCCAAATGAGAACATCACCTCAGTTGTCCATCTCTAGTTCAGGCCTTCTAAAGTATTTGGATAAATGTTGAAAGTTTTGGCTCTTAGTTGAACTTAATCCAGGCTGCTTCAGTCCAACTATTTATAGTATCTGCCCTTCCTAGCAAATTTAAAACACTTCTCACCCTGAACCTATCCTTATCTCTTGTGCTCAGATACTCCCCAGAAGGATGTCTCCTCTGATAACTGAGTTTTCCCCAAACCTGATTGCTGTTCCTGTCTGGCTTTGTCACCATCACCTGCAGCCAAGCTCTTGGCTTCCTTTGATGCAGGTGAGAAGCCTTAGTGGCCAGTCTGGATAACTTCTGAATGAGATCTGCAGTCCTTTATTAGTACATAATTCTAATGATCTTAGCGATCAGTCAAAGCATGAAAACAGTAAATTAAATCGTAAATACAAAGGGCCTCATCCAGAGCCCAATGAGGGTAAGTTGACTTCAGTACCCTTTTGATTAGGCATATTTGTATGTAGGCAATACTAATACAAATTGAACATGATGGTTTAAAAATTGTAATAATATATTTTGTGTCATACCAGCGTCATACCAGTGCTTAACTGTAGGGGAAAATAGGTAGTTAAGATGAGTAGTCCCTGCTGCTGGTAGAAAAATATAGCAGAAGCAAGTTTTTTGAAATCTTGAGAAAGGATATTAAAATTTCAAATGTCTTTGCCTAAAGTTAGGTATCTATAGTAACTGAATGACCTTGTTATTATGGGGAGTTGCTAGCAAAAATCAGTGCTCAAAATCAGAACAGTTATTTCGGTACCTAAACATGGACCTATCTGCCTAACTTAAAACAATCAAAGTTTGAAAAAACAAACAAACATCAGAACTTTGTGCTTTTCTTCTTCCTCAAATCATCTCTGGACCAAGTTAAAGTTGCGTTGGAATATCAGACTATCAGCTCTGTGGTGTTGTGCATGGAAATGATAGATACTGAAACTGCCTTCATGGAAGTGCAGCTGACTCTACTGGATTCCAGACTCCTTCTCTGGGTGAAGGAGTATTTCAGAGTAGCTATCAAGACTGTAATCTAGGGCCATCAACTTTGATTCTGCATCAGCTACTAGCGCACCCCAGTGGGACATTTCTTTTTACACTGGGGCCCACAGGTGAGGCAAATATGACAAAAGGGAGAGGTTGGCACTTCTCAGTTAAACACATGGCACACACACAAAAAAACCCTGGGCCTGTTATTAGGATTCTGCTCTGGAACTGGCCATCACTATATGTAAAGAAGATTTACTGGTAGGACTGTGCCCAGCCTGAATGCTCACAAATTTCAGATTCACAGGAAGGGCAAGATCAAAGTTGGGAGGTTCTGGCTGAGGGCTCTTGTTTTCAAAGCTCTTTTGTTAAGAAATTCCTTTGCTTAGCCTGTGCTTCCTGCCTTCCTGCCATGTTTTCCCTAAGTTAAACTAGAAGACCAGAGTGTGCACAGTTTCTGTACAGCTCTGGTACTGTACATGACTGGGAAAGGTCAGGGCAGTCTAAGAAGATCTCAGAGATTGATTCTGGGGTCCAGAGCAGCTATTCGGTGGCACACAAGGATGGGTATCAGACGAGAGGGTTGAGACAGCGTGTCTTATGTCCGAAGTATAGAGAAACAATGAGTAAACTAGAAGACCAGAGTGTGCACAGTTTCTGTACAGCTCTGGTACTGTACATGACTGGGAAAGGTCAGGGCAGTCTAAGAAGATCTCAGAGATTGATTCTGGGGTCCAGAGCAGCTATTCGGTGGCACACAAGGATGGGTATCAGACGAGAGGGTTGAGACAGCGTGTCTTATGTCCGAAGTATAGAGAAACAATGAGTAGACTCCAGATTTAGTTGGGTTAGAAGCATGTGGCAACACTAGTAACAGACTGATATCTGTAAACGGTGCTGGGCCAAGTTGTAAAAATAATATGAGTAGGACTGAAACTTGTATGAGAATTGCTGTTTTTAATTAAACCTTGACATCATTCTCTGTGGGGTATTTACAAATTGCCTTCCCATCCCAAAGCAGCAGCACTTTTCAATAAATTGAAGTTTTATGTCAGCTTCAAATTAAGGAGTAGTCACTTCCAGGAGTGTGGTGCCTTGAAGGCGAAAAACTCTGAATACCGTTTATACACAGTACTTCAAACTTCACACATTTATTTGAGTAGACCATATGGCTGTTGCATGATTCAATTAGATAGTGGGAAATTCAGTATTGGAAAGTTCACACTGAGGAAGGAGAAGGTCACAGTTAGAGCTCGGAGACAGCTTTGAGTTCTGCGTACTGAAACATCTGCTGCTGCTGCAAAATGGTCTTTTTGGAAAAGTTCAGGAAAAGCAGCCCCCTTGAGCTATTTTCTCTGTAATTTGATGTAATTTGTATTTAAATTGAGCAAATTTGCCTTTTTTCAGTAGAAAATTACAACAGACAAAAGAAATTCTAAAAGGAAGATGCCACCTAGGAAAACAAAAGCTACCACTTGTATGTATGTGTGTATTTGGTAGGGCCTAATATGATTTTTTCATAGGGAGTCTAGCATAGTGCTTTTCTTTTAAAAAGTGTGCATTTTCCAAAAGTCACTGCACAGTGGATGCAGGGTAGCATCATTTTCCTGCCTGTGTAACTCTAGCCTCTCAGTTACGTCTCTGTTGCAACTGTTTAAATGTTGAATTTGTATAGTGACCTCTTGTATCTATGTTATGTACTTCATTGAAGGTGCCTATAATGCAAAAATTAGACTAAAATTAGTGGAGAGAGAAACTCGCCAATTCCTTTATCTTTTGTTATTGTATTTCACAATTCAGGACTTCCTGAATTCACATACTCTTGTCATTTGTAATTTTTTCCAAACATTTGATATAAATTTGGCATGAAGCTAGTAAATGTTACGTAAGCTCTCTGAGGTCAAGATAAACTAACAGTACATGTACTTAGAGAGACAAAGTGGGTAAGGTAATCTCTTTCATTGGACCAACATAAGTTGGTCCAATGAAAGATATTACCACACTCACCTGTCTCTCTAATGTCCTGGCACCAACACTGCTACCATAACACTGCATACAGTATGTATACTTAACAATTCACAAATATTAACATCCACACATATCCTAAAAGAACAAAGGATGTGTCTCTCACCTCACAGAGATGGAGGATTAACAGAGAATTTAACCCCAGTGCCATTGTATGTTCTTTGTGGAAAAGGTGCCCATTCACATGCTCTGTTGCTCTGCTGTGCCCTCTTATTCCCTGACATTGGCTGGCAGACTCCTTCACTGTGGTTATACACTAGTGTCCCCTTTAAGGCGATGGAGTCTAGAAGCCATTGAGGTGGAGATAATGCTACAGTTACCTGACTAAATGTAAGGTATCTCGTTTGGGGATTTACTGCCATCCACTCGGATTAAAAGTTCATAGTTTTTAAGTGACTGAGTCAGTTCTCTGAATCTTCACTGCTCTAATTTTATTTTCAGGACATTTTTTTCAAGTACATCTATGGTAAAAATATGTTTGAGGGTGGGGTTTTTTCAGAACTTGTTTTAAAATGGCTTGTCTTCAAAGCTGGTGAGGTATTTGGAATGTCAGAATGAGTCCTAGGTAGATGAATGTGTGTGCAGAGTCTATGTGGCCAAGGAACAATAGGAAACCCAATATATCACATCAGGTTGCAGTTTATCACAGGTATATACTGCAAATGGGCAGGCGATAGCATTCTGTCTAACTTGAGGTAAACTGAGGTCCTAAATATGAATAAACCATATGCACCAATTCTGCGTGTGATCAACAGAAATTAGTGCTCAGCACCCCCTCGTTACCTGTGGATCAACTGTTTGGCAGTGGGAAGATGGCACTCAGGGGAAGGGATGGCGCAGGGGCAGGAAGAGGTAACGTGAGGGTGCACCTTGGGGGAAAGGATGGAGTGGGGGTGGGCCTTGGGCACAGTGGTGGTGGAGTACTCCCGCAGAAATATGAAAGTTGGCAACTAAGGAACAATCCCTTCCTCCATGGTCCTTAACTTTTTAAATATTTGGAATGGAGGACCAGGAACTGAGCCATTCTGTATGTCTTTGGATCCCCCATGCAGAATCAAATGTTCAGATATCTATTTCTATGAGAAAACAGTGAGATTGCTTTCTCATTGCCTGTCTGCACTGATTTCCCCCACTCCCAACACATATCTCTACAGATGTAGGCCAACTGTGGCTCTGGCTTGTCCCTGGCTCCCTTACCCACTTAGTCTCAGTTCCTTCTGCCCCTCCTTCCCGCTCCCCAGTTCCACACTTGTACTAGAAGGTCCGATTCATTCTGCATGGAGAGACTATTTTATATGCATAGAGGTTCAAGGTCAGGTTGTGTTGTGCCCCTTGTCTCTGTGGTTTGCCTAGGAGAGAGTGCAGCAAGGAGCTTTGCTCACCTGCCACAAAAGGGCCACCAAATGGAAGCAAGCAGGGAACCAAAAGATTAGTGCTGCTTCCATAGTCACCTTCTCCACAGGTTTGAGTGTCACAATCCAACTCTTCATACTGGGCTATAGAGCAGCACACTCTTTGTCTAAGGCATCCATTAGAGTCTGAGTGCCTCATGTTCTGTAGCAGATTTAGTTTCCCACCTCCTTTGAGAGGAAGATGTACATTATTATCCTATTTTCTTTACAGATGTGAACTAAGGCCCAGACAAAGGACTTTTCCCTAAGGTCACACAGGATGGAGGATCAGGGAATTGAACCAGACTCCCCTGATTCCCAGGCTAGCATGCTAATCATCCAATAAGGAAGTGGCAGCTGCAGTCACTCCTGAGCCCTGTGTCTCTGAGTTTAAATACAAACCATAATCTATAAGTTAGTTATCTTCCACTACCTGTGCCAATTTTGGCAGGGTACTTCAAGCATTCAAAGAGATGGCAAAGTTTTTTTACTCAGTTCAGACAATGATCACTTAGGGTATGTCTACACTACCACTCTAGTTTGAACTAGGGTGGTAATGTAGGCAACCGGAGTTGCAAATGAAGCCCGGGATTTGAATTTCCCGGGCTTCATTTGCATATAGCCGAGCACCGCCATTTTTAAATGTCCTCTAGTGCAGACTCCGTGCCGCGCGGCTACACACGGCACGGACTAGGTAGTTCGGACTAGGCTTCCTATTCCGAACTACCGTTACTCCTCGTTTCACATGAATAGGAAGCCTAATCCGAACTACCTAGTCCATGCCACGTGTAGCCGCGCGGCACGGAGTCTGCACTAGTGGACATTTAAAAATAGCGGCGCCAGGCTATATGCAAATGAAGCCCGGGA